GGTTTTTAGGCTCCCCTACTACACTGTTCTTAGATCATCATCTAGCTTCCTAAAAATTCATCTAAAATATTAAGCGTCCAAAAAGAAAATAACCTATTCGTAACCTATGCAAGTGGGTTTAATCACTAATATGTAGTATGTTAGCCTGTGTATTCAGTCCTATGTTCTAAAGAGATGTAAAGAACTGTTTGAAATAAAGCATCCATCCCCTCTGTCAAGAAACCTGAGTAATTTACTAGTAGTAATAATTCTATGAATTATTTAGTGCTTTCCATCATCCGTACCACATTCAGATGCTGTTGTAAAAACTCTTTTGAGGTAAATAAACATTTCAGTAAATGTTGTCACAAAATTAAACTAATAAACCACACATATTAAATTCCTCTAGAAATTGTGGGTTTCGAATCTGCCCTCTGTCTTTCTTTGAAGACTTCCTGGATCTTTGTTTCCTTACTCACTAGCATAGGAAGGCTACCCGACTATTGGCATCAGTTATAATATATAATGACAAGGACATACACAAAGAAAAGTGAGTTGTCATTAAAAAAAACATTTAATATAATGAGTACAAAAAAGCCATATGGATTTCATCATTATCAGTATCATAGCCAGCAATTATCTGCAAATTATAACAATAATTGAAGTATTGGTTACTTTGCATTGTTCATTCACTTTTAGTATTGATACAATTGCCAGCAAATTAGATGATGAACCGGGTTTATTCACATTATAGCTAATGTGAAGAAGAACAGAAGAAAATAACAGAAGAACGAAAACACTGGGTACTGTGACCTCTTCCATAAAAAATATCTCAACCTTAGTCTGAAAGAGGGTTCACGAGTCAATGTGACATGCATGAGAAAGGATGGAGGATAAAGAAGGCTACACAGTCAGTTATGGCTCCTTTGATTCTTACCTTAGAAATCTCACTATTCACATTCTAAAGGTTAGTGATTGTTCTCTAGAATCCTTACCTTAGGAATCCTTGATTTTCTTTCACCCTTTTCTAGGGTCTCAGTAAACTAGCTACAGCTGCCTTGTTCATCTCATAAGACTTCCAAATCACTAAAAGTGATACAAATTCCATGTTTTGGTTTCTAACAATAGGTACTCATGAAGACATACTAAATTCTTTACGCTCCAGACACGGAGCAAGTTACATATTTGCAGTTTGAGACCAGCTGCGTATTTACTGGGTGTGACCACTATTTCTTATAATGAATACCTTTGTATCTAATGCTTAGAAGCTTGTTGCCTACATACTAGCTTGACTTGCTGCTGGTAAAATGTGTGTTATGAGGCTGACTCAAAACATACTGAATAACATTTGTAAAAATCCCTTCAGTGGGCTTTGGTTCAGTGGGCTTATCTATGAGATTAGAAAGTCCACATTGAAAATTAATCATAAATATTTGAGAGAAAACCATCACCTCATTTTAATGTAGTTGGTCTGCATTCATAGAAAGGTACTGATTTAGCTACTTAGTAATATACTCTATTCAAAAGCAGCTGAGGGAGGCACAACTGAATATCCTTAGATTAGTTCAGTTGGTTAGAACATGGTGCTAATAACATCAAGGATGTGGGTTTGATCTCCATATAGGCGATTCATTTAAGAGTTGGACTCGATAATCCTCGTGGGTTCCTTCCAATTCAGAATATTCTTTGATTCTGTGATCTTATTATGTAAAAGATGGCTAATTATGTGTATTTTCTTTAAGTACATTTAACAGAACTGAAGAAATTATCTCAGCATCAGGTCATTTCCCTCACATTCTAACCCCGGAGAGAAGAAAGGCATAAAAACCTGACAAGTATGATTTTGCCAAGGGCAGAAGGACAGCTGAACTTCTAGGACTTTCTTTTCAACAACAGAAGTCTTTATTTCAAAGTGTCACACGTAAGTGAGGGAAAACACTGGGTTTTTCAAGGAGTCTGACTTGAAAAATGAAAAGTGAAAGCTACACTTAACGGTCAGTTTCCCAAGCAAGCTCTGCTTTACACAGCCACACTTCACTGAAGAAAGGACAACTATCAGACAGTTTCCAGATACTACACTACCAAGAGCATTGGTGACCTTTTAGAAACATACTATGAGGTACCATATCTAGAGCCATTCTCATCATACTGATAGAGAAGGGAAGTAAGCATGGTAACACAGTCAGCAATAACGTACAGATTTCTAGATGTGTGACTTCAACATTCTGTGAATTCTAAGGGCATTTGAATCGTAGTTCAGGACATGTAGCATTTTATTTGCATTGAGCAGGCAGTGTTTCCTCCCAGGGAACAACAACATAAGAGACCAGTACTTAGAAATCCCTGACCCAGGAAAGTAGGGTAAAGGAATGTTGAAAGGAAGACTTTCCCTTGGTCAAAAAGGGTTGGGTTAGAGAACACCTAGGAAGACCGGACATCTACAAGTTCATGGGCCTGATGAGATACCTCCACGAGTACTAAGAGAGCTGGCAAACACTATAGCTAGGCTGCTCACGATCATCTTTTAAAGGCTGTGGTGACCATGAGAGGTGTTTGAGGGCTCAAAGAAAACAAATATCACCCCAGTGTTCAAAAGGGGCAAGAAGGAGGATCCAGGGAACTACCAGCCAGACAGCATTACATCAGTCCCTGGAGAGGTGATGGAGCACCTCATTCTGAAAAACATCTCTGTCCACATGGATGACAAGAAGGTGATCAGGAGTAGTGAGCATGGATGCATCAGAGGTAAATCATGCTTGACCAACCTAATTACCTTCTACGATAAGGCAACTACCTGGATGGATGAGAGGAGAGCAGTGGATATTGCCTTGATTTAGCAAGGCTTTCAACACCATCTCTCACAATATCCTCATAGGCAAACTCAGGAAGTGTGAACTGGATTAATGGACAGAGAGGTGAATTGAGAACTGGCTGAACAGCAGATCCCAGAGCGTAATAATGAGTGGCACAGGGTCTAGTTTGAGGTCTGTTACTAGTGGCGTACCCCAAGGATCAATACTGGACCTAGTGTTGTTTGACTGAAATTATTTTGCATTGGGCAATGGTTTTCATTAGGATGATCTCTGGTTCAATATAAAACAGGAAAAAGCATTTGTCTGAACTATAACAGAAACACAGACAGAGTAACTGAAGATGACATAAGAATGTGTGACACAGGGTCCGTTATACCACTCAGAGTCTACTAGGATGATTCGCATTTTACTGAACTTCACCCTTCCCTGCTTATAGCTGACTTATGCCCAAGACTCACTTTATAGCCATTAGAGAAAAAAAGCAGCCCTTCTAAAACATAGAATCATTTAATCCTAATCTATGTCTTCTGTGATTTGGCCTGCAAACAAATGGCCCCATGAAGAAGACCTACACATCTGTTAAGGCATTTAGTACAAGACGGATAGTAAAATAAAAGAACGTTGATCAGCAGTAGGGGAAAAAATGTTCAGATATCCTACAAGAACTGAGAAACTCCAGCTTGGTACCACAGAAATACAAGAAATCAGCTTTGCAGACCATACAGGATAATTAAAACTGAGTGATCAGGCATTCCTAATGTGATTAAGTGACCTGATTTCATGGGTTTTAAGAAGTAATTGAGTTGAGTCAAAATATGAGTTGGTCTGGTACCTTATGCATCACAGGTCAGTAAATCATCATGCATGAAAGGTATTTTAACCATGACCTGTATGGGTTTTGAATCAGGATTCAACTCTGGGGAAGGACATTGTTTCAAAGTGAATGCAAAGCTCCTTTGCACTCTTTTTTTTTTTTTTGAGTGACAGACTGGGGCAAGGCAGCCTTCTACTTAGCGTAGACCAGTGTAATCAACTGAGCTGGACACTGCACCTGCCCTAGCATTACTTCAACACCTCGAAGTGATGTGTTGCAACATAACTAATATTTATCATGACAGATCTTTTTAGTTTTTATAGCACTCTTTTTGTTGCACCAGTATCTTTTCTCAACACTTGGAGCAACACAAGGATGTCACATTTGGCATTGCAAAACAAGACTTTTATGCAGTTCCTTTCTATGCATTGACATTTCTGCAAGAGCTGTGGCTTGAAAAATCAGAGCAGACAGCAAGAAAAGAACACCACAGATGTCAAATTCTCAATAAATGTAAAGCTCTGAGTCTCCTATAAACAGTCTCTTCCTGTACATTAGTTGCTTCATATTACCTGATTAGCAATCTCATTGGCTCAAATAATACTAAAAAGAATCATACAAAGACACCAAATGAGATTCCACTAAGAAGGAATTCAAAGAGTCCTATGATTGCTCTCATGACATAGTCTAACACAGAGATATCTGAATCATTGAAAATTGCTATGTACTTGGCTAAGCTGAGATTCTGACATGATTCGCAGAAGCTACCAAGATATAATTAAGATATCAGTATTGTCTTATTGTCAGTGATTTATATTTATGGATTTCTGAGAATTTGAGGGTTTTTTAAAAAAATCCTTATAATGAATTATTGGAAAAAAATCTTTAGTGAAGTGTCTCCTGGATTTGATGCAATGTATGAAAATACTTCAATCAATAAATAATTAACAGGAAAATATTCAACTTTATGTGAGTCCATAGAGAATTCAATGGCTAATGGATATTTTCTAGGAGAAAACAGGTAAGTAAGTTAAATGCTTTCCTTTATTGGTGAAAGTTCTCAGAAGCAGAGTGCAGAACATCCCAACTGTGCAAGTAAAAACAAATAACCTTGTCCTGAGGTGTCTTGGTTCACACCAAGCATGTTTTCATACTGCTCTGTAATGGGCTGGTTTCCATGTTTTGAAAGTGTCACACCCAGAAGGTCTCAGAGCAGCCTCTAACTGACTCCCTATTTCCTTTCCATAAGGAAGATATGGGTCGACTTTCTATATGCACATATAGATATATTTTTCTCTGTAGGTACAGAGAGAGATCTTCAATAGAGTAAGGACAATAAGGAAAAGGTCCAGGATATTTCCCCCATAAGATCACAAATAAAAACTCAACAACTATTCAATGGTTCATGAATCAGAAAATTTAATTTCCACATCAGTTTCGGATACACAGGGCAGGTAATGCAGAGTTCCCCTTGTTCACAACTGTGCAGAGCCTCCAGCTACCTGGGGGAAAACTGCACTGTACAGATGAGGCTGTGTGTGCTTGTTTGTTCTTATGTCCATGGCATTGAGGAAGGTTGATGCAGTATCTCAAGTGCACTACCTCATAGAATGGAAATATTGATTTATTTTAAAACACAACTGATTCAGCCCCTAATACTCACATTTTAATATAACAAGAACTAAAATGCATGTAAGTAGTCTGACAGTAGGCAGGCATCAACATCTGTACCCAGGGAGGCTCTCCAGGGTGGCTTGAAATGACAAGCAGCACCAGTTTTTAAATCTATCCCCCCACTTTCAGGGTTCTTACTAGGAGTGTACCAGTTGTGGATGAGTCTGATTGATGTGTCAGGAGTCAAATGTCCCAAATCCTACTGTGAGTCAGTAGGATTTATTCACCACCTCTGGTTCCAGCTGTCCTGAGGAGTTGTAGGTAGATGTGTGCCAGGGTCTTGATGGTTCTCTACAGCATGTGTCAGTCGTTTTTATAGCTCTCCTCCTCTTGCTATTTTGTACCCTTGTGTTCATATTTCCTTTCCATTCATACTAATAGAAACATCTTTTACTGAGTTTTGCCACATCAGTAGAAGTTTCCTGGACATCTGTTTTCGAGTAGGTTGCAGGCATTTTTGTATGACCTGACCAAAAAAAAAAAAAAACCAAAGAAAGAAAAACGTTAAAAAAGACACTAGCTACCTTTTTTTGATTCATAAGTGTTCTTCTCAACAACCTTGCATGCTTCTGTCCTTTAGTATTTCAATGATACCCTAATTATCACAAAATATATCACTTTCCTGGTCTAGAATTAAAAATTAGAATTACAATTCACTTTCTTCTATGCAATCATTTAATCTACAAATTCTAATCAGATTCAATCTTTATATTCTGTTAATTTTACTGGATAAGGATGAGCTGGTGTGCTTCTCCAATTTCTTATTCTCTATTACTCACTTTACATTATCCCTTACCTATCAAAGGGAACTATTTTCAATGAAACTGGATGAAAGTTTGATAGAAGGGAAAGATAGACTTGCCACTGAAAGGACAGACAGAAAGAACTTTGCCAAGTAATAAGCAAGGTGTTTCCTTCATTTTTGCATAATATTTTAAATACTCTTATGGGGATTCTCATGCAGCATTTATGCTTCAGAGTGGCAGCTGCATCTCTCCTGAGAGTAGTGACACAGTGAGAACTAGTCAGAAGTTTAGTTCCACAAATCCCATTTATGAGAAAGTCAGGTTATTTAATATAAAACTGAGCTGTGCAAGAATAAGGCAGGGATTTTTACAGAGTTCATATTAATAGGAAGACGTTTTCTGCACAACTATATCAGACAGTGTTTTTTGTACAATGTTAAACACCGAAATGCACAAAGCAACATACAATATTTACCCCGGGCTTACATTGTTACCAGCATCTGGAGAAAAAAATACTGAATGACAGGAGGAAAAAATCCTATTAAAATATTCTATTATCAGACCATTAAAAAAATTTGAAAAGTTGTTTCGGAACCGTTAGAATGATCATGAAAATCTGCCAATGCCTATAAGAATATAAGCATTCCAAGACAGAATAAATCATGAGGTATCTCTCTAGGACTTTCTATTGGTTTGATTATTGTCTTCTATAGCAGGTCTAGCACGACATCCAGTTCCAAATCCCTTGGTTCACACAAAACCAAAGCACATTATTGTAACAAACATTATTAATAATGCCACAATAATGTGCCTGTCACAAGAACTTGTCACAATAATGATGCAATTGCCCTAAACCAGCATATTCCAAATGCACAACCCCATTCTGCTACAGCAGTGTGTGCATTAACCAGATAACATCTCTCTCTGAAATAAAGACTTGAAAGAATTTTAAAAAGTCATATAGTAGATCAACTCCTATTTTCGTATAGAACAAACCTATTCAGCTGGTGTCACCAGCAGGTATAAATCTTCAGACAATGAACTAAATTATTCCCCAGAGACCTCCTCCTCCCTCACATTCTGTTTGCAAATGACCTGTCACCCAAACTGCTGAATTTGTTCCCATTCCCAGTTCTCTGCATTTGTAAGCATTATAATATCATTCGGCTCCTTCCACATCATAGCATCTTCTACAGAAGGATCTCTGCATATTTTGCAGTTGTTAAGTAACTTAGCTTTGCAAAAGGGAGTTATTGCAAAGTGGAGAATCCTTAACAGCTTTTATTTTTTAAAGGTGGAAACTGAAGGGTAAACAGGTTTACGATGGCTTTTTTATGGAAAAACTGAACATCTGTGCCTTTGAAAACAAGGACAATCTAAGATCAGCAAATTCTATCACCAGAGCAACGATGAAGGAACAAAGAAAAGAAACAGTCAACATTATAAGACTTGGAGAACTTGTTTTATTCTTTTTTTAAAGCATTCAATTCCCATATTACTCTAGAATAATGTTGTTTTAAAAGTAGTCAGTTATGTAGTATGTAACAAAGGATGTACAGAGTGAAACACATTATGTGAATAAGGCTGCTTTAATATTATGGAGTTAGACTTGTTTAGAAACAAAGAAAATACTACTCTAGTAATAATTTATGTTTTGCTATTTATATCACCAAGATGCTCATTACCAGAATAACCAAGTGCATGCTTAAATTTTCCTGTTTGAGTTAAGCCCTGAGAAGTGAGTGAAGTTTTGAGCACCTTAGCATTCTAAAGAGAGAAATTCAGACTAGGTGAGTGATTGGTAGAAGTCTAAATGTTTGACAAGGATGTCTTCACAAACAGAGGTACATATTGTCCCATTGAAGACCTTTTCAAGTGAAATTTTACAAGTGGCTTCCATAACAAACCAGGATTTCACCCAAGGAGGTTTTGATGAAGTTTTACTGATGTTGATAACTTACAAGGCTGCACCAAGAAGGCAGGGTGCAACTTCAGGACATACAGTGGGGCATGGAAAGATGTATCTTAGTTCTTAAGGAAGGAAGCAAAACAACTTTACTGATAGGAGGACAAACGGAGGTGAAGAACATAATGAAAACCAGGAACAAGCAGTGTTTCAGGTAGAGAAGTTGTAATACAAAATATTCTTATGTTAGAATGAGGAATAGTTGAGTACATTAAGGGCTGCAATTAAAAAAAATATGAGAAAATAAACTGCTCCCATTTATTTGAAGTGTATAGTTATGTTTTATCCAGAATAATTATATTAATAATAACATGCTTATGCCTTTGTCTTGTAATGAATTGTGGGTGTTTGTGAAAATGGAGCTATTGTAATGATTGCATCTATTATTATGTGGAAATGAAGGATGAGATTCATTTCACTTAGCTTTGGAAGAGTTGGGCATTAAGTCTAAGTTCATTATCTAGACCCCCTTTGGAGTCACCTCTCAAAGAGGCAATTCCAAACTTAAAATGTCTAATACAATCAAGACTAATAACCTTTGGACTTGCCTGCCTGTTACCATTGATTACAGAAAAATCCAAAGACTAACTTACTAGGTAGAGAATATTCACATAGCTAAATTTAGGTGATACTAATTCTACCCCAATAATATTTTTTCACATTAAATCTTTTTGAGAATATGTCTTTGAAGTCTCTAACTGCTATTACATTTACTTATAAATACATGTTTAAAAGTTTTGCAAGATCTCAACTGAGCATTTGTCAGGAATAAAATTGGAGCAGATAGTTACAATTTCCATGCTTTCTTCAAGAATGATAATTTGTAAATAGTTCATTTTGTTCAAGTAGCAATTAGCAAAGCATTTTAAGTACCTAAGATTGCCAGAGTAAACCTTTAATTAAACTGGATAAAGAGATTTTGTTAACCTAGCAGAGTTTTCCCTAGAGAAGAGTAGTGGATATTACTGGCATCTAGAACAAATGCTGTATTCCTGACTGATGTATTACATGGCACAACTTTTATAGCGTAACCGGGTGTCATCTGCATAACATTTGCAGAAAACAGAAATTTAATCCACAGGTTTTCCTCTTCAACAGTACAACTACATCCTGTTAGCTCCAGTGGTCCTTAAATCTAAGTCAGTCTCCTAAAGCAGGGCCACATGGATTCACTGTTCACTTCTGTAAGTGATTATTGCTGCATCAGTTCTGTGACAAGACTTTCCATTAACTGTGTAATACTAGTTTCTGCAGGACTCAGAATATGAACAGAGAAATCTGTGGAAACAGAGATGATAAACTGTGCTAAATACACCATGACTGTGCAGTTAAAGCAGCTTTTGGTCAAGATGCTGAAGAGCAAACTTGATACACTAAATCCATTTGCTAAGCTTTGGAAATGAAAATAAATGCTAACAGTATCTAGTTGCTGGACTTCCTACATCTGTGGGGGAAAGGTTCATTACAATTTGTATTTCCTTTCTAATCCAGTCTGGCTATGCTATTTTGTGTTTAGATAGTATGCCCATACTCTTCGTCACTTCTGACTTTTTTACCTCCACCATATCACATTGGGACAAGCAGTTTGTGTATTTATATCTCTGGTTGATATGCAGAACTGAAATGGTTCTGATTTTTAGAAGTTTCACATCAAGACTATCAGGGTCTGAAAAGTAGGAGGCACAGATTTTCAGCTTTTCCTCTGGTCAGGCCAACCCTGCACCCTTTTTTTCCCCCTGCTTCATTTTTATGGTGGAGGAAAAGCACAAGAAAAAGGACACCACCATAATGGAATAAGGCCTCAATATATCATCTTTCTGGGAGGTGAGGATCAGAACCTATCTGTAATGTTTCTCTCATTCTTAGAAACATAGATGTGAAGTTAGAGTAAGCCATAAGGGCTAGCTATGAGAGCAAGATTTTACATTTGACCTTTACTTCTGTTAGACGTCACAGTTTGAGAGAATCCCATTCCAATGAGAAGCCAGCAACAAACACATTGCTGTAAGGAATAGATGATAACTTTAGCTAAAGGAGATGTTTTGCTGTCATGACGTGTCTGTAAGGAATGTATGCCAGTGAGAATGCTTTGACCTTGTTGGAACAGCAGCTAAGGCAAGGATGAGACTGTCTGCTCAGGCTCCCACTTGCTCTGAGAAGGACGTATAATAAAAATAATTGACAGTTTTGAGTGAATAACAAAACCCAGGAATGATGGAAAAAAAACCAAATTCCTCATTTTTCCCCAGATTCACTTTCTTCCCAGGAGAACAGAATAACTGATCGTCCTAGAAGGATTTCGTGACCCTTTATTTTTTGCCCGTGCCCAGAAAATTGTTTGGCATGTTGCCCTACCTTTCTATAGCTTTGTTGGCCCTAGTCTGTCTGAGTGCTTTGTCACAGATAATCTGCACAGGAAAAAGAGATGGTATAGGGTTTACTGCATTTTACTGCCTCTTTTGCCTCAGTACCACCTGTTAAGATAAATGGTTATCACAGCAGCATCCAGTTCCTCTCTTCAGCTCAGCATCCAAGGAAACCATCACCCTGAGGAAGTACAAAGTATGGCAGCAATGACAAAGTTGTGTTTATGGGAAGCTCTGCTGAGTGGATTCTGCCTACACGATGATTTCTCTTTACATAGTTGCTTAGGCTGGTCTTTGTGGGGAGAGATCAGCTCAGGTGCTTTGCCCTACTGGTCTCAGCATGGTCTGCTGTGCAATAACCTCCTTCATTATTTCTTGATTTTCCTCA